CACAGATCTGCGTTGTCGCCCTGAGGGTTCGAACGCTGCTGGTGCCAGCCAATCATCACCGATTCATTGTCGGTAATGTAGATCATATGGCCAGCACTAAATTCAACTGCAACGATTAGCCCCAGCAGCTCTCCCCTCGGGACCGCCTGACGGCGGCCTGGAAGAATGCCACGGATGGAGGCATCAATAACGAAAGGGCTGAAAGATGACACTGCAACAACTCCGACGCCTACCCTGCGCAGGCCCTCGTCTCTCGACTCTGGACCTCCGCTGGCGTCTCCGAAAAGAAGTAGTGGCTTGGTCGCTGAGCCTGTGCCCAGCGATCCTGACCGCAAGGGGCCCTCAACCCCACTGGCAAACCAAGAGGGATCACTCGCTGGGGCTGGGGTGGATGTCCATTCCGAGGGCAGGAGGCCCCTCAGCCAAAAGCATGGCTCCGACTCGTGCTGGCTATAGGCCTGCGCCACTAGGCACTCTGACGCTTCGAAGGCAGGCGAGCCCACGTCCCTTGGGCAGGCCCAGCACCTATGAAACTGCGTCTCAGGGGCAAGCTTGCATCTAGGACACAACGTGCCCTCGAGGCTCCCGACTTGGTCGGAGACTTTCTGCAGTGGCCACGAGCCGCCTGCCGCGATGCAGAGCATGAGTTCCGCTAGCTGATGCCCCTGTTGGCCCGCTCTAAAGATTGAATATAGCAGCGATCGGATCTGTTGTCGACCCGTGCTCCAGCCCACCGCCACAAAAGTGAGTCGCAGCAGCTTCCCACTGCCTGCGCTTGACGGTGGACTCGAACTCGTGTATGAGGTCGCTGAAATCCGTGTCTGGCCCGAGGTCGCCGTCGAAAATGAAAGCCTCGCGGCCCTCAGCTCCGCAAGGCTTGGTCCCCCACTCGGTGGCCGTCACGGGGTCCCAGTCATACTGCAAAAGATATGTGATGACAGCTGACAGTGGGCCGCGCACGTTCCTGCTGCGCAGCGACGGGGCCATGCCCCTGACTTGCCTGGCCGCTAGAGGCAAGGCAAGCTGAATGCCAGCACGAAGACGCTTCTCACTGAACCAGGTCTGCAGACACATCTTCAGAAAGTCGCACGGGAGACGGTCGCCTGTGTCCACGCCGACGCTCCTCAAGCCCAACTCCCTCGTTCGACGCCGCCCACGTCGGGCAGAACTCGCGACATGCCCCAGACGCCTCCTCATGTTCAGCATGGCCGAGCCATGCGCTCCGTACACTTGATGGCCGCAATGGCCTGCAGGTTGAGCTCCAGCAGCCTCCAGCTTCATCGTCGGCCTGTAGCGCCGACTCGCCCCGGCAGCGCGAGCGAGGCGACCGTGCATGGCGGTCGCCTTTCTCACTCGTTTCCTTTGGGTAGCCCGCGCGCGCCGCCCAGCTCCTGAGTCGACCCCCGGGAAGCTGGTCTGCAGGGCAGCTCGGGAGCCTTGAGACGGGGGCCAATGCAGACGGGGGTCAGCCAGGGCGCCAGATCCTGCAGGATCCTGCGAAGACCTCCTCTGGCTGACCCGGGTTAGGGAGCCGCTCGTGGCCGCCAGGCGGCCGCGCGTATTGGCTGACCCGGGTTTGCGAGGACCTGCGTTGCAGTTTTTTTTTCCTGCGTTGCAGTTTTTGGTTTCCTGCTGACCCGGGTCTGGATTGACCCTGGTGAGAAGATCCCCGAGCAGCTGTGACCTGCACGCCGTGCCGACGGAGACGGGTGACGATGTGCTTCGCGTCCTGGTGCTTGGAGCAGATAACGACGCTCTTGCTCGCCACCTGAAGCCCCTCGCTGCCGAGAAGGTCACTGGTCTGCCTGAGAACCTGCACTAACACTGTCCTGCTGTGCCGTCGCGAACATACAACGTGCTGAGACAGGTCGTCGATCCACAGCCGCATGTCGACGCCTGGGTGGGCCGATGTCAGCTTGCCGAGGATGAAGTATGTCATGCAGCGCGCGAGCCTCGTGCCGCTGCGCAACCCTTGGGTCACGCTGCGGCTCGGCTGGGGAGCTTCCGAGAAGCACTCGCCCTGCGCCAGCGTCCGCGGCGCCAGGCAGAGCTGCAGCTCCGGGGAGAGGGTCGCGGGCGGGAAACCCAGCGCTAGCGCCGTCTTGGCTAGACGGAGCCAGCAGATACTGTCGTAAAAGGATTGGATGTCGAGGAGCCCGTGCCCGCACATGGCGTCCAGACGGGAGTGCACCTCTTCGCCCAAGATGCGGAGGAATGCTTCTCGTAGCGCCGAAATGCCCTCCACCGCGGCATCCCACTGATGTTGGGACTCTCGCGACCACTCTTTGATGAGCGGCTCGCGTGACATAGACCAAATGCTAGGTACCATCCCTGCAAGTCCGATGATCCTGTCACCTCCAGCCTTCTTCGGCAGGAGACGTCCGAGGATGAGGAGGAGCTGCCAAGGCCAGCTGAACCGCGCCTCCACAGCCGAGAGCACCTGCGCCAAATGGTCGAGGCCCCCAGGCGGGAACCGCTCCACGTCGAGCGGCAAGAGTCGGTCAACTCCCTGCCCCGCACGCGGACGCATCTTGTGCGCGCCAGCCTTCAGCATCTCCCCCGTGAGTGGAGGCAGCTCCTGAAACCCCGCTTCGGCTTTGATCGAGTCCATGGTCCTGAGCAGCTCCACCTGGTCCAACGGGGTGCTGCCCCAGAGGTCGTGCCACCTGCGAACCTTGGAGTCGATGATGTCCTTGGGGTGGTGCAGGGCGCCTGTGGGAGTGATGACCTCCTGGGGCGCCGCTGGGATCTTCTTGATGCTCTTATGTAAGATGTTAGCCGGGTTATCCTCTACAATCGGGTCTTGAAATCATCCAAGGGAGCATGCAGAGCTCTGCCACGGGCTCTGCTGGCTCCTCTCTCGGTCACCGTCACCATGCCTGACAGAGTCTCGAGCGAGTGGCCGTCGGGGGACCTCACATGTTCCAGCCAGCTGTCCCACGTCCATGCCCTGGGCAAAACGAGGTGTGCCTTTTCTGGGTAGTCCGTCACTAGCTTCTGGCATGCCTGAGGAAGAGTAGTGCGTTGTCATGGGCAATTGCCCCTCCGTCGATGATGGGCCAGGCGCCCCATCACTGTGTGGCATCGTGGCCACCATATACTGCAGCGGTCCAACGGCGGGAGGGCTCGGCTGCGCTCCGACATACGCACCCCGTGCACTCGAAATCGTGGTCCTTCTGCCCTGCGCGGGCGCCTGGCGGAGGGTTCCATCTGGCGATGCTCGTGGGCAGCGCCTTCCAGAGCTAGCGCCCGTGCCCCGTAGAGGCCGCTGACATGATCGATGTGTGCAGCTCCAGCTTTGTAAGCCAGAGGGTCGCGAACCACGCCCCAGGCGCGTGGGGCGTGGAGAAAACCAACGTGAGCCCTATGCTTGAGCCACAAAGGTGACGGTAACGCAAAGGGGGGGAGAGAGGCAGCGGCGCCAGCACCCGTGCACGGGGGGATCGCCGAAGGGTCGTGAGACTTTATTTGATGAGCCCCTGGAGGGCCACCCGTGACGGCGCCACCGACAATTGCGAGGGTGTTGCTAGGATTTCAAAAGGCGCTTGGGTATTACTGGGCTGGTCATATTGCACCGTTGGATGCTGGATCCCTGGTGCCTGTGTGGTGAGACCTGCTGCGGCCTGCAAGGGACTCGGGGTGGCCTCAGAGCTCGCAAGGGGGGCTCCAGAAGTGCCTCCGACACCGCTGGCTCCAGAGCTCACGCCGCCAGAGACAGTAGTCCCGTCACAGGCGCTACAGTTCCCCTCGTGAGCCCACGGGTCCTCTTCGTCTTCATCCCAGGCACCAAAGGCAACATCTAACTCGGCATCCTGGTTTAGAACATGTTTTAACTCGCGTGAAACTCGGTCTTGACTCGGGGAGTCGGGGCCTTGGGTGTTTCCCCCAGGCTCGCCCAAGACATCCCCGAGCAAAATACTGGCCTCCCCTACGATACGGGCCCGAGCGGCCTCCTGGGCTTCAAGACGCTGAGCTTTAGCCTTGGGGAACTTGGAACCAGGCGAGGGGAGGGGGGTAGGACGATGAGACTGTGGACGCTTAGCTGGCAAATCCAAAGACCGTGTGAGGAGCTGTGTGGCTGCACCTCTGAAACGCATCAGCAGCCCGCAATGTGTTTTCCACGGTGCATCTACGCGAGCCCCGACGGGCAAGACATACGGTACAAAACTCGAGCCCGCCACGGCACAATATATCCCCGAACCTTTGGCACCTGCAGTGCACGTCACCTCGATGTTCGAAGCCCTCAAGACATGCCCCTGGGCTTTGGCAAGACAATCGCGCGTCTCTAGACTGCGCGCTGGCATGCTCCGATCAGCAAAAACTGCCCAGGGCAACTGGGGGCCGGCAAGGAGGGCCCCACGCCTACCAAACCTCTGAAGGTCCCTCCCAGGCCACCCTTCACTCGCAAAACCGTAAAAGCACACTGCTACAACAGAGGAGCCTCTCATCTCTATCGCTGAAGCTTGGGGCCCGTCTAGGGCGTCGTGGCCCCCGCTATAAAAAAAACGTCTAGGGCGTCGTGGCCGTCTGCTCTCGGCGCGCGCCGCGCCTCCGCAAGGCTCCTCGCGCTGCGGTGCCCCTGCGCCAGCGGCCACTCACCCCCCCTCGTTGGCCCTGTGGGCCTGGCACGAGGAAGTGCCGCCTCGCCCTGAGGCCCCGGCAGGGTTGGCCAGCAAGCGCAACTTCGCCTCCCTGGCCTTGCCGCCCCACCCGGCGAAGCCCGAGGCGTCCACGTGTGTCTCGGCCAGGCCCATGTAGTGGTATGGGTGTTCCGCCACGAAGTCCCAAGCCTGCTTACCAATGCGCGTGACGTTGGCGAAAAAGAAAGTACTACCTGAATTGTCTGCATCACTGGCAACCTCGAGGCTGCCTATCTGCGCCGTCCTCGCCCTCCGCGGTGCACCAGTCAACGGACTCGGTGAGGGGGGGAGGGCGGCTGCTGCTCTCACTTCTGCTCGGCTCCTGTGGCCGCCGCGCTCGCCTGCGCGGCCGCCTTCTACGCCTGCTTCGCCGCCTGTGCTGCCGCCAGCTTGGCCGCGCTGATGCGGTCGGCTGCCTCCTGCACACGCTGCGCCTCGGCGGCGGCCGCCTCCACCGCGACGGCGCCGTCCGCGCCTGGCGCGGCGGCCGTCGGCGCTGCGACCGCTGAGCCGCCGCTCGCGCCCGTGGCGCCTGGGGCGCACGGGCCGCCCAGCGCGCCGCCGTCGCCCGCAGCCGCCGCGTCGCCGTCCTGCCGCCTCTTCTTCCTGAGCCGCTCGTCGATCTTCGCCTTCAGCGCGGACATCTTCTCGTTCCACGCCTTGACCTCTGTGTGCTTAACCTCCATGAGTGCCTGCGCGCTGCGCAGCTCCTGCTCCAGCGCCTTCAGCGCCGCCCTGTCGGTCTCCTCAATGGAGCGAGCCGAAGAAGTCCTCGTCGATCTTCACCTCGAAGGGCACCTCCTACACCTGGGCGGTGGAGCTCTCGCTGCTGCTGAGGCCCATCTCCATGGCCATGCCCTGTGCGGCCAGGCGTCTGGCTGCCTCAGCCCTGGCTAAAGCCAAAGCCATCTCGCGTTCCCTCTGCTGTGCCTTGTCGAGGTTGTCCTGCGCCTTGACCACGGCATTAATGGCCTGGTCGTGCTTGAGCGATGCATCGCGCCAAACTCCGGAGGCGTGTCGCAAGACCTCCTCCTTGCTCTGGAGGGGCTTGGTCTGGGTCGCTTCCAGCTTGGCGATCTCGTCGCTGAGCAACTTCCTGAACAAAGGATCCTCCGTCGATGCCAACGTGCTCCTCATGAGCCCTAGGCGGTCGGCTGGGCTCGACGCCGCGGCTGGCGCCGTCGTGTCGCTCGCTGCCCTTGCCGGCCCCGACGGTCTTCAGCTGGTTGGACTGGAGAGTGTCTGCAGTGGCGGTCTTCTTCGGCTTGAACAGTTTGACTTGCCTGCCACACTTGCACCTCCTATCCTTCTCGACCAGGATCGTGTTGTACTCGCATCGCCCACAGGCTCCGCACTTGCTCCACGCCCCGGCCGAGCCTGCTGCTCCCGACATCCTCGACTTTGCCAAGCCGATCTACCACCGAAGCTGCCGAGCCTGGCTCGGGTGCAGTTGGCGACGACTTCCCCCTCAAGCCCCCTCGTGGTGGGGCCGAGGCTTGGGCTCCTGCCAAAATTGCTTGAGAGGAGGAGGAGGGAGGAGGAGGAGGAGGAAGGAGGAGGGAGGAGGAGGGAGGAGGAGGAGGAGGAGGAGGAGGAGGAGGAGGAGGAGGAGGAGGAGGAGGAGGAGGGAGGAGGGAGGAGGAGGAGGAGGAGGAGGAGGAGGAGGAGGAGGAGGAGGAGGAGGAGGAGGAGGAGGAGGAGGAGGAGGAGGAGGGGGAGGAGGGAGGAGGAGGAGGAGGAGGAGGAGGAGGGAGGAGGAGGAGGAGGAGGAGGGAGGAGGAGGAGGAGGAGGAGGAGGAGGAGGAGGAGGAGGAGGAGGAGGAGGAGGAGGAGGAGGAGGAGGAGGAGGAGGAGAGAGGGAGGAGGAGGAGGAGGGAGGAGGGAGGAGGGAGGAGGAGGAAGGAGGAGGAGGGAGGAGGGAGGAGGAGGGAGGGTCCCTGCCTCCGGGCTGGCTCCCGTCCCCGGCGTCCGGCGTGCGCCCTCTGCGTCGCCGGGCCGCCCCTCGTCGGCCCGGTGGGCCTGCGGGTCAAGCAGTGGCGAAGCGTCCTGTCGCGGGCGACTGGGGGCTGGCAAGGAGGGCCCCACGCCTCCTAAACCTCTGAAGGTTCCTCCCAGGCCACCCTTCACTCGCAAAACCGCAAAAACACACCGCTGCAACAGAGGAGCCTCTCATCTCCATCGCGGAAGCTTGGGGCCCGTCTATAGGGCGTCGTGGCCGCCTGCGCTCGGCGCGCGCCGCGCCTCCGCAGGGCTCCTCACGCTGCGGTGCCCTTGCGCCAGCGGCCACTCCCCCCCCTCGTTGGCCCTGTGGTCGCGGGCGATGTTTCTCCCCCAATCCCCGAGTTTCGCCCGAAAAGTCTGGCCGCTCAGAAGAATGGGAAGACCCTGGGATACACCCCAAGGGGGCTATTCGGACGCACCCCTATCGAGGATGGACGCCCCCCCATCGTATATCCCAGGGTTGGGCCCCAAATTTCTGGTCCATTCGGAAACCCCACGAAGCCTGGGATAGGGGTCGACATATCCCCTGTTATCCTGGCTCGCCCATGGTCCTGCCAAGCGATGTTCTGAGGACCTTTTGCGGCTTCCACGAGATGTTATCAGAACATTTCTGGCTGGGGCTGTCTTGTTTGAACACATGAGGCTCAAGTTCTAAGCACACTGTCTATGTTCTTGGAACATGTTGGGGTTCTAAGAACATTTCGTGGTAGGACTATAGGAATGCCGGGACGGTCGATCCCTGCTCAATACGGGTGCTTCGCGCGTCGATGTGGCTCCCGCTCCCAGGTTTCGCACACCCGCCAGATGGATTCTCCGTCCCACTTGGCAGGTTTCTTCGGCTCTCCTGTTGCTGGTGGCTTTCGACTCTCCCGGCCCTCGCTCGTTGCCCTTCGTGCCAGTCTGGCGCCCGCCGACATTTCTTTGCCGCCTGCGGCCCTTTTCGCTATGCTTAAGTCGGGCCTGTCCCTGCGCAGGAGGAACAGTCAAAAACAGTCAGCAAATAGTCAGGGGATAGTCTTTGATGCTGTTCGAGTGTTGTCGAGTACTTGCTCGAGTATGTTAAAGTTCTCCTCCGTGAACCGCCCGCGGGAGGACAAACCCGACCTCTGACGCCATGCTCCCCGCTCCCTGCTGGGCCGTCCGATCCCCTCCGCCGGCCGCGTGCCAGGCCGCCGCGGCGGGTCGCGGTGTCCCTCGGGCCTGCCGCCCCGCTCCTGCAGCCTCCGCCCCTCTCTCCGCAAGGGCTCCCTCGAGGGCGCGAAGTTATTCGCGCTTCGCGCTTCGCGGTCCTCGTTCCTTCTCCCCCTCCTCCTCGTCCTCCTATTCTCCCTTTGGGAGGGCGGCGCGAGAGCGCGAAGTTATTCGCGCTTCGCGCTTCGCGGAGCGCGAAGCGCGAAGTTGGGAGCCCTAGTCTCCGCCCCTCTCCGACTCTCTCGTCCCGCTGCCGGCGGCAGTTCCGCCGCCGTGCCAGAGCAGCATGCTGGGCGTCGAGGAGGCAAGGGCAGGCCAGCCACAACTGGGGGAGCTGTGTTCCTTACCCCCCTCCCCTCTCGAGAGGTCGTCGATGCGATGGAGCCCCCCAGGGGGGTAAGGACCACAGCTCCCCCAGTTATGGCTGGTCGGAAGGGGGCCCGCTGGGGGCCGCCCGGGGCAGAAGGCTCCAATTCTTGGCTCGCATTCCCACTGTTGCCTCTTGGGCCCTTCTGGGGGCCGTCTGTGGGCCCTCTCGGGCTGTCTCGGGCTCTCGTGGGACGCCTCGACAGCCTCGTTGGCCGTCTTGAAGCCATCTTGGGGGCCGAAGTGGCCCGTCTTGGAGCGATACTGGGCCGTCTCTCTTGGAGGCATTTGGTCCTCGGGAGCGCGAATCCGGCGTACTCTGCGAGGGATTGAGGCCTCGGAAAAAAGGGGTGGTGTACGTGACTGGGCGCGATGTGAGGGAGGGTCTTCTGAAAAACTACAGACAGCCTGCCAGAGAGCACCTGACATTCTTCCACGCCTCTACGTGCAGGAGGCACGGCGGCGGATGTTCTCGCATCTTCTGCATCAGCCGGGTCTTTCCACGGGCGTTTGCGCAAGGAGGAACATTCAAAACTAGTTAAACAATCGTCTGGAGACGATTTTCTATTTCTTTTTACAATGTAGGGGGACACGCCCGACTTCAGGTTACCTATCCCTGAGCGTACCCCACCTTCGGACTCTGTGAACTATCGACTGCACCCCACCGTCGCGCAGGGGGGAAACACTGTGACTGCGTGTGTGCGTGTGTGTGTTTGTGTGTGTGTGTGTGTTTGTGTGCGCGTGCCTGTGCGTGCGTTCCGCTCATAAAGGGTGCAAGTTGACTAAGACGGGCTCATCAGTGAGCAGCGTGCACCCGAACGGTGAAGCATTTGTGCAATGTGTATATTTGGGGCAGGAATTTGTACATGACCACCGCCTGGAGGATCAATTTTCGGGGTCCTCGGCAGGCGGTGGATGTGGACATATTCGGGCTCCCGGGGACCAACATGTATCCATATCCACCACGCGCCGGGGCACCAGGACGTCGGTTCCCAGGCGGTGGATACGGATACATCCCCGCCTCGCATTAGATCGAACAAGTGGAGGCATATGAGAGCTGAACATATCACATGCCATGTGCACGTGCGTGTATCAAGTTGACCATGTTTGTTCTGGTCGGCCAGCATCGATGCGATCGGCAATATCTCGTGTTGCTTTAGGTGGCGGACTGCTTCGTTGAGAAAGACAGGGTGCGACACCGCGAGGTGGACCTGGTTTATCGCAGAGCCCATAACATCAAGGTTGTGGAGGAAGACCTGCCTTTCATTGCCTGGCTTGCTGGAGTCGACAGGCGTGCAGACGAGGGCGTGGTGATCGATAACCGCTCGTGGAGGGAGCTCTACGAGCTCCGGCAGGTGGAGAAGAGCCAGTGGATGGTGGAGGTGCAATGAAACCGACCTTCGCCACGTTGTTCCCTGCCTCAGCGGACGGCAGGAATTGCAAAACAATGAGCTTAACTCTGGCGAGCTTGGGACCGATTGCGGCTGGAACGTGCCAGCCGCTCATTTTCGGAATGCACAGTTGCTGTTTTGGGCGGTTCCTGGCCCAAAGCGACCTCCGCCAGGGCTCGTTGTTCTGTGACTCTTTTGCTCGCTCGCTGACACTCGGCGGCGACCCCGGGGGGAAGTGAGAAGGAGAAGGTCTTCTGAGAAGGCTCGGAAGTCCCCTGGCCTTCTGAGAAGTTTTCTGAGCCTTCCCCGGAGACACAGACAACTTCTCAGAAGGCTCGAGTTCTTCTGAGAAGTCCCGCCGCCTTCTGAAACGGCCTTCCCCTTCTCACTTCCCCCCTCGCTCGCCGCCTACTTGTGCTCGCTCGCTGACATGTTTTAAGCTGTCAGTTCTGATCAGAGCGCGGCGAGGGTAGAAGCCTGGACTCCAGGCTGAAAAAAGAGGAAGAGAAGTGCATTATCATAGAGGGTCGTACATTGCCAAGATGTTGCATCTCATTCGCCTTCTCGTTTCCCAGCTCTCTGCAGGAATCTGCATCAGTTCGCTTATTCATTGCATCGGAATGTGGTTCGGCCATTTGTGCACGTGTAGACGGTCTGAGAGGCACAGTTTCGACACCCAGAGCACTTCCTATTTGCGAATGTTGCACGGTGGCCCGATACCGCATGCAAGACTTGTCCGCGTTATTGTGTTGTGACCAGGTGGCTATGGCGGTCAGAGTCTCTGTTTGGGATCTCTCGGGACCAACTTGGCAGTCTCTTAGGGGCTTCTTGGGAGCCTCTCGGGGGGTCTCTTCGGAGCCTCTTGTGAGTTCTTCGGAGGCGTACTCGGGGCCTCTGGGCGGCCCCTGGCGGTCTGCTTGGGAGCCTTGAGGCCATCGTGGTTGGGCGTGGGTCCTGGGGTCCGTTCGCGACGTCTCTTGGGGTCCTCGGGGACCGTCTCGGGGCGCTCTTGAGTGCCCTTGGGGCCAGACTGAAACGGCAGGAATACTGAATCACTACCAGCACATGCAGTTCTGTCAGCTTTTGAGCTTTTGAGCGGGCCCCCATGCGCCCACAGACGACCCAAGAGACCACAAGACGGCGCCAAGAGGTCACTGAGGCCATCTTCGTACACGCCGGAGGTCCAGATTCCCATCACTTCCAATATCCTGAGGAAGAACCTCCTCACATCGCCCGAGCATAGGGGGCCCTGCAGGGACCTCCTCGAGCATTGGACAAGGGACCGCAGTAAGTTCCGTTCTGTCCCAGGGTGTCTGGCGGATCAGTAATTGACTTATTGCGTTTCGCAAGGCTGGTGATGGCTACCACGAGTATCGTGCAATTCTTTACCAGTAGTGGCAAACAGCAGTTCAAGCAGTTGTTTTATTGGAAAGCGCCCCTTCTCCTACCGTGCTTTTCAGTCTACCTTCTCTCGCAGTCTTTCCGTTCCCGTGCTAGCGGAGGTGAAGAAAAGCCTTTGTTGCGCGTGATCCGTTATCCGATCGAAGCGATTATCCATAGCGTTTCTGTTTGCCCCTGTGCTTTGGGGAATCAGTGTTTTGAGAAGGTCTTCCTCTGACTGTTACGATGCTTCCGTGACGTTCCCCAGGCAGTGCCTGCTTGCCCTTTGGCTCCATGAATTTCCTCAAGTGGGGCTTCTAGTTTAAACACTTTGCTCAGAATCGTTTAACCGACCCCCATCCTCATCCTCATCCCCTTCGAGACCCCCGCACACTTACCCACCCCAGCTGGGGATACACCCCTCGAAACTCGAAGGGAACGGCCTATATCCCCATCTTGGGGGTAAATCTGCCAGTGGGGCCCAGGCCACGCCGCTGGGGATGGGTCGGAGTTTGATAGACCTCCTACCCTGCCACGTCGATTAGTGAATTGGCCGTTTTCGGTTCGCGAGAGGGCGTCGCGGCCGTTGTTTTTGCGGGTCCAGATCCGTCGGCTTCAGTCCGAGACCGTTTTCACTAAAAAGGGTGGTTTATTAAAGTGAGATTTGTCCACCGCCGACGATGTACCGTCGATACCAGGGCGCGCTGCCTAGCGGACCTGCACGGGTGATGCATCGATGGTTTGGACGATACACGGGGCGTGTGTCGACGATGCAGGGGCGATGTAGATCGAAGGAGCAAAAACTGTATGGGCGTCGGATAAACGCCGAATGGTTTGTCCTCCGCCGAGTGGGCGTCGGATAAACGATGCTCATTTGCTGGCACTTTCGGGTTTTGCCCTTGGTGCCCGCCCCGTGGGCGTGCCGTGGGCGCCCCATTGCTGGCCGGCGCTTCCAGGTTCTCACCTGCTGCGGGAGGGGGAGGCGGAGGGGGAAGAGAAAGAGGAGGAGGAGGAGGAGGAGGAGGAGGAGGAGGAGGGAGAAAGGAGGAGGATGAGGAGGAGGAGGAGCAGGGAGGAGGAGGAGGAGGAAGGAGGAGAGGAGGAGGAGGAGGGAGGAGGAGGAGGAGGAGGAGGAGGAGGAGGAGGAGGAGGGGGAGGAGGTGGAGGAGGAGAGGGAGACACGCTCCGTGCGGTGGCTGGAATCTCGAGAAGGGAGGAGGAAGAGAGGAAAGGGGGAGTAGGGAGGGAGGGAGGAGGAGGAGGAGGAGGAGGAGGGAGGAGGGAGGAGGGGAGGAGGGAGGAGGAGGGAGGAGGGAGGAGGGAGGAGGGAGGAGGGAGGAGGGGGAGGAGGAGGGAGGAGGGAGGAGGGAGGAGGAGGAGGAGGAAGAGGAGGAGGAGGAGGCACGCTCCGTGCGGTGGCTGGAATCTCCGGGCTTCTGCCCCGCTGCTGGCTGGTGGGCGCCTCGTGGGCGCTCCTCCGCGCGTGCTGGCTTGCAAAGCGGCAGAGTCCTGCCTGGTGCTGCCTGCCTGG